TTAAAATAAAATATTTTGAATATTCCAATATCCCAAACAAAAATTGCTCAATATTTTGGCAATGAAGGAAAATAGAGGATCCTAAATTTGTCTTGAATTATTAAAAAAGATAAGCTACAGCTCCACACCTGTTAAAATGCATTGATTATTTGCTAGGTTTTCTGTATAAGTCTACTTCATTGAGATATGCTATGCTTACATTCCAGAGTATAGTTTTTAAAAGCCAAGATTATTTTAAGATAAAAACAACCAATGCATAATAGAGGCAAATTCAAATTATTCTTATATGTGAAGTTAACTGACCTCAAAATCTACTTTCTGTAACTCAAGTGTAATATTGTAATTTAAATAGGGTTTTTTGATTCTTAAATTATGAGAACATCTCATTTATGTATTCTTATTTTTTAAAAAAGGCTATAGTTTTTTCCTGTGCAGTGTCTATTTTTGCAGAGCTATTCAAGTCTTTCTAGAGTTTAAATTGTTTTAGCAATACCAGTTTAGCCTCTAAATTGAACAGTAAGCAATACTATTGTCTAAAATACAGGTTTAAATACAAAATTATGCACAAGGGTACACTAAATCACAATATAATGTTTCTGGAAATACCGACCCACATAGATAAACTACACATTAATGTCTATATCACTAAATCTATCAGTGCCTCTTAGACACAAAGAGCCTTATAGATAAATTAGTGCAGCCCTTATGAAAACTGGTCTAAATCAGTAGGCCTCAAACATTTTTGTTTTTAACTCTTAAGAATTATTAAAGGCTCCCCAGATTTTTCTTGATACATATCCTACCTACAGCTTTTGATCATACTAAAGTTAAACCAATTTTTAAAACATATTTTTCCTCAAAAATATTGAAAATAATATACAATTAAGAAACTTCTTTTAGAAACAATGTTATAATAACATTCTCTTTTTAAATTCAAAATCTCTTTTTAAATTTCAAAATCAAATTTTGAAATCTTTACCTGGTAAAGCTTGACATTCTTGTTGTCGCTGATCCCACTGGCAATTCAAGTTTAGTGAACAGCTTTTACAGCTGGTAAGTTTATTGCAAATCTGCTCATTTCTCACATGACATTTTGTGTAGTTTCTGACAGACTAGAAAGTTAAATAGAAAAGCATGTTACCATTCATTGCACAAGGTATTTTTAACATAAGTGCATTTTTATATCACATGGTGAACTTTACACAGAATTGTAACTCCAAACCCAATTCTATTGAATGAAAATTTATCATATTTATTTTGCTTTTTAAATTCATACATAGTGAACTGCATTTGGAAACAAAATGCTACTCACTTAAGGATGTATTCTTGTAATAAAAGAATTTCAGCCAACCACAGGAGCAAACATTTGCCAAACATAGGCGGCCAACTAATCAGACCACACCTATAAAAGTCAAATGACTCATCATACCATGTCCAGATAAGGTAAATTCCCAACTATGACCAATTGTGCTACTTATGTATATAAGTTGTGCATTTTTCCCATTTATAAATACTACTTATCTACCTTGTTGGAAGGAATTCTAATGCTCTATTGACTTAAGGTATTATCCAATTCATGAATTGTTTTCTTAAATAAACTTTGCTAAATTTCATTTGTTTGATTTTTTCTATTAATAAGATTAGTTTTCTTAAAGTTAGTGCTTATTGAAAAAATGTGCAAGCTACAAAATTTGAAGCAAAAAATACATTTTTGAAAACATCTTTATCTTCTTTAATTTCTTTCTGGTACTGGGGATCGAACTTGGGACCTTGCATTTGCCAGGCAGGTGTGAACTATATTACGCCACTGAACTATATCCCCACCTATAAAAATGTATTATTTAATATATTTTTACAGGGTCTCAGTATGTAGCTCAGACTGGTAGTGATCCTCCTGTTTTTAGCCTCCCCAGTGCTCAGATTATAGTCCTGCACCACCACAGCTGGAATCCATGGCCAGCTCAGTGTGCCCAGGGGTGGAGACAGAGGGGCATGTGATACCAGAGATTGAACTCTGGTCCTTGTGCTCACCTAAGCAAGGGTTTAGTCCACTGAGCTATCTTGCCAACCTCTTGAAAACATTTTTAGAACATCTGAAAACAGGCTTTCAATTCAACAAAGTCAGTACATGAACTCATATCCCTTAATGATAACGTGAGATAATTTTAACCTTTTTTTTTTTTTTGCATTTTAGAGAAGGGTCTAAGGGTGTGTTTAGGGTCTCACTACTAGACAAGAATAGTAGTGATCTGCCTGTTTGCAGCTTCACAAGAGCTGGGATTATAGGCACGAGTTACCACCCCCAGTCTCAATTGCCATTTCTGTGCACTCCAGGGTTGGGGACAGCACAGCAGGCCCAGGGATCAAACTGCCAGAACTTACGCCTGCCTGGATAATTCTAGTCATAATAAATAGTACTGAAGGTTTGGAAATGAAGCAGACAGAAATAACTCAGACAAAATTGAAAGAAATGCCTTACAGAAATACAGTACAATATGAAAAGATAAATCATTTTCATAATAACTCTATAATGGTTCTGATTAAATGGTACTTCTGTAGTATCAATTTTTCATATTTTTTTTCTAGAGCCAAGAAAAAAAACCCTACAAAAATTACTCTCAAAAAAATATTTGTGCAGCTACCCTGCACCAGCAGGACCAACTACTGGTCCCAGCCCAGGCGAAGCATGGGTGAGACCCTCTTCCACCCCTTGGGATGGCCCCCACCACTCCCCAGCACCTCCTGCACACTGCCCTCCGAGTAGAAATTTCAGCCGCATTTCAGGAACCCACAGACCCAGTCCTAGCCCAGGTCCCGTGAGTGTGTGGGAGAGCTTCTAGCTACCCTGTACCTGCAGGACCGACTACTGGTCCCAGCCCAGGCGCAGCGTGGGTGAGACCTTCTTCAACCCCCTTGGGACGGCTCCCACCATTCCACGGCATCTCCCCCACTCCGCCCACCGAGTAGGAATATTTGACGCATTCTTGGAACCCCCAGACGCAGTCCTAGCCCAGACCCAGTGACTGGGTGGGAAAGCTGCCTCTCCTCCCTACTCCAACTTGTCCCCTCCAGGCTCAACTCAGGCCTGGCATACATGCCTGGGTTGTAACCCTGCAGCTGCAATCCCTGCAGAGAGTGCACAGGATAGAACCACCCAGCTAATCCAGGAGCAGAACATCTTGCCACAGGGGAACAACAGGTTCACCCTCAAGGGCAGCAGCAGGAAGGAGTTGAGCACAGCAGCCAGATCCAAGCCAGGCACAGCTGGATAAATCCAAGCTGTTGTAGATCTTCACATGAACTTCAGTATGTGCAAAGGTTAGAACTACAATGAAGATCTACAACAAAGGTCAGAAGACAGTGCTACACAAAATGACAAGTAGGAACAAAATGCAACCTCAGGACCCAAGCTCACCCGAAACAAGTGCAGAGGACACTAACACAGAACAAATTGGAAATCACACAGCTGAAAGCAATGAATCAATTGCTTCTGAAATAAAGAAACAGCCGCAGAAAGGTATAGAGGAACTCAGATTGGAAATGAAAAAAGAAATCCCGGAATTAATAACATCTGCCATAAAGTATCAAATGCAGAAATATATGGAGGAAACCAAGTGGCCACCCAGAACAAGTGCGGAAGACACTAGCTTGGCTCAAATGCATGAATTAATAGTGTCGATAGTAAATAAGCAACAGCAGAAAGATATAGAGGAAATCAAAGCGCAATTCTTTTCTGAAATAAAAAAAGAATTCTCAGAACTCATAGCATCTGAAGAAGCAACTACAGAAACATAGGGAGGAAACTCAATCTGAAAAAAACACTACAGTAAAACAATTCATAACTGCTTCTAAACAAGATATTGATAAAAAATAATAAAGGAGATTAGAAAAATGACGGATTCCTTGAATGAGCAATGCAGGAAAGAAATAGAACGCAAGAAGCAGAGTCAAAGATATAGAGGAAATTAAAATGTCAATCACAGGCTTGCAAAACCCTTTAAGTGAAAGTGAAGACAGAGTTTCAAATCTTGAAGATGCTGGTGTAGCTAGCGAAAAGGTAAGAAAGGATCTCTTAAAAACAACGAGGATGCAGGAAAGAATAATCCATCACCAGCAAGATGATGCAAAGATGAACAATGTGAGAATAATAGGCATCAATGAGAAAGAAGGAGTCAATAGAAATGACATTAAAAAAATATGGGCGAAGTAATAGCAGAAAACTTCCCAAATATGAGGAAACAATCTGACATTCAGCTAACCTCATCAAACAGAGGAAAGAAAAAATTCAAATATAAGCAATAAGGAATGAAAAGGGTGTAATTACCACAGACTCAGTGGAAATTCAGAAGATTATCAATAGCTACTTTGAGAATCTTTACTCTCACAGAAT